TAAGGTTTAGTGTGTTACTAATAACATGCTTAAAATTCAAATTTAACACTTTTTTTGAATGTATACAAAAAATAGGATATGTCAAAGTCAGAGTCAAAAAGCAAAAATTTAAATATCTTTAAATCAATAAATATGCAGAAAAGTGATTCTTAAATTTTTATTAATTCGTGTTTCGGGCATTAACTAGTCCCATGTTCAGTCAAAATTGATAATAGAAACATATAAATTATTCAAAATGCAAGAAATTTTAAAGGTTAATAAAATTAAATTGATAAAAAGTAAAAGTGATCACAGTGTTAAAACAAATTACAAAATACAGAATTAAAATTTTATATAATGTAAAAACCACAAAAACTTGCACTATTAGTGGACTAATTATGAATTCTTTTTATTCTAAATTCTCTAAAACTGTCGTTTTAATATTTTATGGTTATAGCATGCTGACCCAATTGATTTGGTGTGTGGTGCCTTCGCACCAGATTACAGATAAAATTTAACTGTATCTGTATTTTTATACCGCGATGATACATTAAAAATTATTTTTGGTTGAATTAGTATTTAATTACTTTTGTACACACTTTTTATGCTTTAACATTAATAATAATAGACTTTACCAGCTTGTTGAATCAGTCTATAAAATTCTGGGTATGTGTCATATCTACCCCTTGGATTTTGTCTACTTCTTTCACAAACCGCCAGTGATTAGAAACGCAGAAACTACTGCTTGAAGTTCTTGAATTTAAATTTCAAAATAGGATTTTTCTTGCAAATTTTTTTTTTCGATTGTTAAGGAATTACAATAAAAGAGAGAATGCAAATTAGCTTCTGCACGCAATTACGCGATGTAGTAAGATTGACAGGCGTGTTTTTGTAGCGCCAAGACGCGGCTCGGCACACCCAATCATCAAAGTCGCATCTGACAGCAATTTGGCGGGGCCCAGTTCAGCTCCGAGCTATGATTTTAGAGTCGTGAGGATCTGGCAGAAGGCAGCTTACATCAAACCACTTATTTGCCGCCACCAAACTACCAATAATAATTTTTCTCCATCATACTATAAATAGTCGATTTGATATGATCGCCTCGACGGCCAATGGAAACCTTACTCAACAACACGCACTGTTATTAGGGGCTATTATGTGTTATTGCAGCTAATACGCGTGCAGGAACCGCATGAAACTATCTTCGTGGCCTAATCTAAGACGCCGGACCTGTACCTACTCTAACCCATCATTACATTTTACGACGAATTCTACGCTCACACACAATCTTGTTATCGGACTTACTCTTACCTGTTTAGGCACATTTAACATTAGATTTTTAGATTATAAACTATCAATTAGCCCTAGGCCAGTTCTAATGAATTACATACTTTCAGAATAAATAATTACTTGATGAGAGAGTACGAACCACAACAGTCAAAATGGCGACAGAATATTAAAATTTCTTTTTTAAATTCGAAACTTGAGAGCTGAGGCGAATATTGTCACCTAAACGTTTAATTTCTCTGTATTCTGTAACAATTTATGTACTACACATATGTACACACTAATGTTTCATTGAACATTTTTAGGTTGAGACCAGTTTTATTGATCTACTTGTGAAAAAATATAACGACAAAATAAAGTAAATAAAGCGAGCTAAAAACCTAATGAAAAAAGTTCTAACTAGGATTAAATTAAGCAAAGCAATCATAGCATGCACGACCTAAGTTTGACGACTAGCCTTTATTTTTCTTCTTGACACACTTTATATAGAAGCGTCAATTCCCTACCTGGCGTCCCTCTAAATATTAATTTAAGCAAGCATTTCTGTCTTTGTTTTACTCGAGTATATAAAAAGACGCAGTAAATTCATTTTCGAACATCTATCGATCACCTGTATCTCGTCCCCGCCTACCCTCAAAAAGATTTCACCGAGAAATCGTTAAAATTTTCGAAAAAGTCTACTCACACATCGACTGTCAGATCAATCATCACATATACGGGGGCACACGACTTAAACATGCACAAACTATTGTATCGTTTTTTTCTCGTCGTGACGTTGGTTGCAATTTGTCTGATCGATTGTGAGAATTGCAAACGGTTTTTGATTTTCACACAGCCAAAATCCGAGTTGCAACACATCGGTATGAATGACGGGGAATGACTGAACATCACTAATGCCACTGCCATCATCAACTGCTAATTTAGAAACCCTTTTAAACGAATTATCCTCCGCTACACTAATGTGCTTTTGTGTTGATGTAAGTTATATTACTCGGCTAAAACAAATTCGGTTGATTGGAGAGATTTTTCCAGTCGAAGCGTCAAACGCAATCCTTATGAATCTAATACGGTTTTGAAGTTGAGTGCCCAGAGCGTTGTTATTAGACATCATTAATCAAGCGTTGGTCAGGAAATGAGTCAACCCTTCGGCCCTTGCTACGCCACACTCTAACACTTTACATACTATGTCGGACATTGCGGCTGTCTTAAGACACATGGCTGGACCTCTTTTCATACTTTAATGCGTTAAAGATGTGAATTCAACTGAAGTCGCTATTGTACAAGATGATTAGCTTCTGGGTGGTACTTCTTTGAATACTCTTAATTTATCATTTTAACATCAAAAGATTAGCATGTGGAACGGAAAAATATTTCCAAGCTATGCGCCCACCAAGCAATTTATTTATGCATAAATACCCATTTTAAATAATTGTCAAAATACATGTTTACTTGGCCAAACTTCATAAAAAAAACATTATTATATCACATAACGATATTATAATTTATATAGACACTTACTGTAATTACTTGTCACCATTAACTAAGTGTTAAGTACTTACCTATAAGTGTGTCATGAGCAATTTTTACAATTTTTGTAATTTTTTTCCATGGTAATGGAAATACAGTTACCCTAAAAGCAAAAATTCAAGAACCAAGTGATTTTAAATGATGATGGTAGTAATAGCCACGGGAGATAAATTAGGCTGATAAATAACCAGTCAACAAGGCATAGCAAAATTGCAAGACTAATACCGCAGAAGAGTTAACAATAACTGTAATTGGAAATTTTTGATGCAGGGTCTGAGGCAACTTTTGCAAGAATTTCAATGTTTTTAGCAGTAAAAAAATATTATTATTGCTTCAAATTTTGTAATTATTTACATTCATCTGTCTTACCAATTATAAGTTTTAATCTATAGTTAAGCTATTGAGCTTAACTAGTAAATAGGTTATACCCAAAGAAAGTAAAAACACAATAAGTCTATTAAAGAAAGTGGTTAATAATTACAAAATAAAAATAAACAAACAAGTTAGTTTTAATTCTATTTTGTTGCAATATTTATTTTAAAAAAATTGGAATTTTAAAACTAAATAAATTTAAGATTTTATTTTTAAAAGTCATGCTATTACAGTTTTTTTCTTTTGGTTTTTCTATTTAATTAAATGTATTTCACTATTTCTCAAAACTTTTTACCACCTACATCGCTTTGACATTAATATATCAAATGAAATAGTTTTAATAAATACTGAAATACATTTGACAAAAGAGAAAAACCAAAAGAAAAAACTGTAACACTTTTTAATTAACAATTAGTTTATACGTAGGTATTAATTGTATTATGATAAAAATTTTAGTAAAAGATGTTATTGCTTACAAGTTTTGAAAAACAATTTAAAAATAAAAGTAAAATCTGACATTTTTGTATAAAATCTTTATCATCCTGTATTTTTGATAATAAGTGAATTTTTGTCTACCTATACAGAGTGCGCTAGAACTCGTAAGATGCCAGGAACATGAAAAAAAAATCTATCTATAAAAATTTCGAAGTTATGAGAATTTAAATTTTGCACTTTGACTCTATTTATTTCTGTTGAAAAAATAATTTTTCAAGTTTTTTTTCTACATGCTATTAGAAGAGGAAACAAAGAAGCTGTATCCTAAATTGTAACTCTGTTTAATGTTATATATGGCTTTTATTAGCAAATTTTTGTACCTTTACTAAATAATAATAAAAAAACATGTACAAGATCATCAGTATCATTAAATAGACATAAAAAAATGTCAAATGCTAAAAATTAACTTAAAAATTTTGTGATATAAAATTTTTTTAACATTTTTTACATGTTTCTGATATCTTATCTTACTTGAAATTCTTTTCTGAGGAGCGAGTTCTAACACATAATAAAATATAATTAGTTTTAAACTAAGATAATTATTAGAAAAATAATACCTAATGTTTGATAGATACATAAAAAATGAACCCACTTTTGAAGTAGACAACTAGAAGGTAAAAATACTAAAAAAACTTTGTAGTTAACTATTTGTTTTATCTATAAYGCAATTAAAATAACAAATGGGTTACAAAATAAAAAGCAATAACAAATGTATTCTTACGAAATTTACCTATTTTTTGTTCACATTTAAAAAAATTCAATAGAAAACTGGGCTATAAGGCTTTTGAATGCATTCGTCAGCTGATGACGGCGTTATTGATATTTAAGAATAAGATGTAAGGAACATCAAATGATAAGAGATACTTACGCCCCTCCAAACATTTGAGAAGCGCGCGTCGTCAGCGTCACGACGCTGAAGTCCCTCGGTATTTAACAGCGCATCGGCAACCACGCGGTGCATACGATTCTTGTTCGTGACGTGTCCCTTGCACCCTCACTCACATTTTCAAAAATTTCGTAAACTTTCTGGATCACAGTGTATACTCTCCTGTGAATTTTTTGCGGTATCAAAAAGTGTCCGAAATTTGCATGTCGGTAATTCCCCGATTCCGAATCCCGCATTCTCTAAAATCAGGTATTCGTTTATTTTTAAATAATTTTAACGTTGTAATTGCGGCCTCGTCACGCTAACGCAAATCCCGCCTCCCGGAGCCGTCCCTGCCCACGGAGCGCTCCGCCATTGGTTCTCCACGACACCACGTGACCGGCCATCATCCTCCTCAATGAGAAAGAAACAAAAACAACCGTCACTAACAGTAACTGTGAACACACACGTAACAATCGTTTCCTATTTCCAGCTGGCTCCGCTTGAATTTCGCGGGTTTTGTGACTAGTGAGTGGACCTAGTGATTGTGATGGTTCCTAGTGACTCCGGTCAATGAGAGTCAAACATCCGCTCCGGATGCCGACGGGACACTTAGACGACGACGACTTCGTGGTGGTCAAGACGAGGTCCAACAGTCCCGAGGCCGGAGGCGGCGGCTTCTGGCTGGCGGCGGCGTCGGGAGCGCCGCATCCTGCGGCTTTGCCCATCGAGGGATGCAATGAAACCGGCTTTATTAACAGCCAACCATCGATGGCTGAGTTCATGACAGCCCTGCCGCATCTTTCCGGAGATATGACCCATGGGGCGTCCATCAGTCCACAGAACACGCCGCCGGCAGGATACCCCATGGATGTACCACACGGGATGGGATCCCCAGGAGTCAACGTACCGGAATATCCCTGGATGAAGGAGAAGAAAACCACGAGAAAGAGTAGCCAGCAAGGTAATTTTTAATTAAAAAATTACCGTCGGAGTCAATCCTTCAAGAATAAGACTCACCATTAGCCTTACTTTAATATTCTTTATTTAAACTTTCAACCAGCAAATATTTAATATTTTTTGGTGAACGTGTTTAAAAAATTATGCTTTATTGTTAATGGGCACAAAAACCATTCGTGATGTTCCCTTACTTGTACCGTGTATCATATTACAGAAAGACATTAAAATATTATTGCCTTTAAGCATGCAATGCTACTGTAGGCGTTGACATTTCTGCACGCACTTCTTCTTTTACTTGCTTTTTCAGATATAATTTTTTTAATAGACTACGTACGACTTCCTTCATATATAATTTACTTCAAGTCGAAGCTAAATTATAAATCATTATTGGATTTTTCATATGAGACAAGCGATGACTGGAATAAATAAGGGTACCTACTCCAAGTAATTATAGCGGCTATACAAGTAAAATTAATTAAATAAAAATGAAAAAAAAATTGTTAATTAATTATGATGTATTGACGACAAACCAATCTTTATTATTTTAGAGAGAAAGTGGATCGTTGAATAGAAACAGATTACATGTAAAAAAGAAATATCAATCAATGCAAACTTCTGAAAATACTCTGTCATATCTTATTTAAAAATAATAAACTCTGAAACCATATTACGTCAATGACATACACAAAGTAGAAATGTTTTTTATAAATGTACTAGTATTATGAAAATGTTTTAAAGATCTTTGCTTAAGAGTATCAAGTCAATGTTAAAAAAAAAACAAAGTGAACTTAAACACCTTTAAAGGACCAAAGAATATTCTAATCTTGTTTTAAACATACAGGGTTCGCCAGAACTCGCACCCCATAGAAAAATGCCATATAAGGTAAGAACCAGGAACATGGAAAAAATCTTTAAAAAATATTATCTATAAAAAATTTGAAGTTATGAGAGTTCAAATTTTGCACTTTGACTCTATTTATTTCTGTTGGAAAAATAATTTTCCACGTTTTTTTGCTGCAAGCTGTTTATTAGAAGAGGTAAGAAGGAAGCTGTATCCTAAATTGCAACTTTGTTTAATGTTATTTATGGCTTTTATTCGCAAAATTTTTGTATCTTTATTAAATAATTGTAAAAAAATCATATACAATATTATCAGTATCATTAAACAGACATAAAAAAATCTCAAATGTCAAAAAATAAGTGTCAAAATTTTTTCACAGATAGAATTTTTTAAACATTTTTTTCATGTTCCTGATATCCTATCTTATTTAATTTTTCTCTGGGGCGCGAGTTCTGGCGCACTCTGCATATTTATGTACATATGGATGTATGTACAGGGTGTTTCACACAACTTTACGAAGCTTGCGCCTAATGTTCGCACCCAAATATACAAAAGTCACAAAACACTGGATACAAAAAATACACTTCTAACTATTTAACTTTTGGAAACCTATCACAGTAGTTGTCAAACTAATCACTGTTTCATTAATAGACATAAACTGTAGGTTTTCAGAAACAATTATCATTTGTTCTATCAAGAGACGGCATGATTATGACTCTAGTTTATCTATCTTAATCACTAACGAACTAAAAACGTTGTAATTTAAGGGTGAACAAACTAAAGAAGATTATTCAATTTTCAAAATGTGAAAATCAAGTTCGTATCGGAATATGTATTATTGATTGCATCTTACAGGCGCAGGCCTCGTAAAATTACGTGAAACACCCTGTATATGTATACAATTACAAGAGTCCATAGCGGGTGTTTCTTTTTAATTTGGCGTCAAAACTATCCATGAAAGTTAGATTGTGAACAAACCATCTTATTGAAAGTTATTAATCTGATATTTGACATCTCGTCGGGCGTATTAAAAATTGTGGTTCGTTCCCAACAAACTCATATTACCATGGCTATGACGCCAAATTTAAATATATACCCGTTTTATGCAAAGAAGAAAACAACACGTCAGAAAATTGAAGAAATTTTAGTATAATACCACATAAAAAAGTGTACTTTTTGACTAGTTCTTTTTATACATTAACACGTTTTCCATCTTTTAAAAATAATTTGTACATATTATGTATTTAAGAATTTATTTAACCGTGTTTCTAAATTTTGTTATTTTTAATTTATCAAATTAATCAATTTAGTTTAAAAAAAGTTTTACAAGTAGTTTATAAATAAAAGTAATTATTTCTACGCATTACACCACATATATTGCTATGTTCTAAAACAATAATAATTTTCTCAATATTTGCTTTGACTGGACATAAATTTATTTTTTCAAACATTATACTTACTTGTAATTTTATACTGGTTCTATGGTTCATTTAAGCTTACCTCTTATGTTGTCATTAAAAACAATACGTGAATAAGACCGTATTTTGTAAGTAGGAACAGTTGCGGAATTAAAATTTCGGGCAGTATAGTCATTTTCATAATGTAAACTCTAAAACAACCTTTCCATTAGTAACCACTTTTTTTACTCTTGTCATGTTTTTGTCATTTTGACACTAAGTTCAATTAATAAATTTCCTAAGACAATTGATTAACAATTTTAACAACAAAAAAAGTAAATGTCAGTCATGATGACTGTGATAGAAAAGTACTGCCCGAAATTTTAATTCCGCAACTATACATAAAATACACTTACCATAACATTTTGTCAATTTTCACATTATTTTAACAAACTTTATATCAATTTCTAAATTTAGTAAAATTTCTGATCCAATATTAGGTAGTGTTAGGAAAAAAATTGAAGACAACACAACTTCTATATTTAAAAATCACAGTCTGTTAAATTCCCACTCTATAATGGTTGCTCGAATTTAAAGTACAACCTCAATTTTTAAACTCAATAAAACTTTTGTTGCCTTAATAGTTATAAGTACATTGTGTGTTCTGTAATTATTTATTTTAATAGCTTCATTAAAAAATAATTAAAGAATTTATTGTTCAAGATTTTTTGATTTGAAAACAAGTTTTTGGTGTACATATTGTTTTTTATAATGTAAAAGATTCTACACGTATGACTTGTAAATATTCCAGTTATATTAAATTAAACAACTGTAACTTCAACAAATGTCTAACTATAATATACTACTCTTAAATATAATTTATCAAATATATGCCATCATAATTTCTTAAAAATAAAATAAACATGTGTAGATAAAAAATTGTACAAGATGTTTATAAAATAACGTATCTACAGGTGTGTTAGAACTCGCGACCCAGAGAAAAATTTCAACTACGATAAGATACCAGAAACATGAAAAAAATGTTTAAAAAATTCTATCTGTCGAATTTTGACACTTATTTTTTAACATTTAACATTTTTTTATGTCTATTTAATGACACTGATAACCTTGTATATATTTTTTTTTATAATTATCTAGTAAAGGTACAAAAATTTTGCTAATAAAAGTCACAAATAACATTAAATATACAGTTACAATTTAGAATACAGCTTTCGTGTTTCCTCATCTAATAGCCTATAGTAAAAAAAGTTGGAAAATTATTTTTCTAACAGAAATAAATGAAATCAAAGTGCAAAATTTAAACTCTCGAAATTTTTATAAATAGAATTTTTTTAACATTTTTTTTTCCATGTTTCTTGGCATTTTTCTCTGTGGCGCGAGTTCTGGTGCAGCCTGTGTATCAAGCATATGAACGTATGTCTTAAATGGTAACATCAATAAATATGTCAGTTGTCTGTCAAATTTACCAATTTTTAAACACATTAAATATTGATTAAAACCAATTTTTTTACTACAAACTAAAAAATCAGTAGTTGACAACAATATTTTCGTACGCATCATTACAATGTTACCCACTGTCTCTGGTATACCTATAGTGAATGTTTTGACATTTCATTAAACATATTCTAAAAATATTTTTTTATAAAAACTTTTAATATGATCATTTAGGACTGTTTAAGTTGGCAACAAATTTAAAAGTATTTTTGTTAATAATTTGTAACACTGCAACCGAGTACCGTATTGCTTGACAAATACTTGACGTACAGCCCCTCAAGATTATTAAATTGAAGTATACTCCAGTGATATACTTTAAAAATTAAAGTCACGATTGCCAACAGGTTCATTCGTTCTTGATCATCTTGTACTATACATATAATATCCGATAAATCATTACGTCATTTTTAATACATGAAAATTATGAAATATGCTATATTTCATACTGTCTCGTAAATTAAGCTTTCCGGCCCCATCGTGAGTTCGGCAAGTGAGCTATTATCAGAGCCAGTAAACCTTCCATTCGTACTGTAATATTTAACTTACCAGATGTATAACGTTACTATTAGGAAAGTCCACTAAATTATTAAATGTGTAAACAATTGTATGTAATTATAAGTTGCGAATTTGAGGCTGTGCATAAGAGTGGCCAGAAGCAGAATAAAATAAAAGATTATTATTATTATTATTATTAGGCTTCTACAATATTAGGAGTATGTATTTTGTAATTTTTTACTAGTTTTTATTTTTATAATTATGTAATATTTTTTTTTATTTTTATGATTTTAGGAAATCTAAAAAATTAAAAATTAATTGAATTAAATCCAAATTGAAAGTTTTAATGTTTGCTCAGTAATCATTTGTTTTGTGATAGGTAGTAAATTACAAATGTTTGTAATTGTTAATTTGTTTTAATTTTTTATTAACCCTCTTAGGTAGAATTATTTTTCTTATTTAGTTAATTAGAATTTTTCGTACATTTTAGTGTGTGGTATCTGATCGAAACTCTTAAAAAATGCCTTGTCTAGGTTAGTTACGTATTTAATCGTTGTAATCCTTCTTGTTAACAAATAAGGCGTCTATCGAGTCAATTGGCGTGCATTAAGTTGGTGGTTTAGTTGTTGTCGGAAGATGAAGTGTCCAAAGGGGCAGTGGTTGGCCGGAATGATCTGTAAATGGAGTGTCGGATGTCGAGCCGAGCTATATTTCATGCTGCCGTCGGCGTCGGGACGGCATCGCCACTGTTCACGT